TGCCCGCATGACATTCCACACAACTTCATCTCATACTTTTTGAAGATCAGCTGTTAGCGAACCATTCAAACTGTGTTGTTTCGCGCACTTCTTCAGCTTCAATACTGACCACAATAAATAATCCGCTACATTCAAATCGGAGGTTTTGGCTGGCCAATCTTTGTGCAACCCAAAGTCGGACAAATGGGCTCTGCAGAAGACTTCCACAAAGTCAAATACATAAGCAGTCCATCGTCTTGCTAGTGAATCAGATCGGTGTGAGTAGTAGAGGCGACGAGTGTTTTATCTAAATACTATTATATTTTGATAGCGTTCAACTTAAAATTCTGCTCCCAGAGGCGAAAACTAATTGAGATGAAGAAGTTGCGGCGACTCAGGTCCAGTTCATGGCTGAGCTAAAGAGGCTGTCGTCGATTTGTGTTCGATCTGCTCCGCTAGTTTCTTCAAAACGCCAAATAATTAGTCCTAAGTTTTCTCGTATGAAAGCATGTGTCAGAAAAGTTGGTCAAACACGGCCCGGTGACCGCCCGGCGATCACGGTGAGGTGATCCTATTTTGACCACCTACCATGCCATTGGCATGAATGACGCGAGAACTACGCCACCCAGTTATTCTATCTATTCTCATTGTATTCTAATTCGTCATTTGCTGCTACTAGTTCTATAAAGTTGTTAAAGTTGAAGAGTGTCTACTGTGTCCAAGAGTATAACAGGGTACAGCACAAGCACACCACACACAATTTTGACTTCGAGGCAAGCCCAATCTCAGCGGTCACATTAGGCTCTTCAAGTTTGCAGCTTCACTCGTACTGACGCCTCGTCGGTTGTCAGTAATAGTATAACCATCTCTGACGGCTCTGAAAAATGTATCGATTAGCGGTACCTGTAGCAGTTGCTGTCGTTGATACCGTGGTGTCTTGGCCTTCAGAAGTGACACTGTGAAATGCGTCGGAATAACTATCCGTGCTGAAGCAGGGACGTGAAGGAAAAGGCCAAGACACACACTCCGCTTCGATACTGGCATAATATTCGCGAAATGTCTCCTACTGTGCAAAATAATCCGACACCATTCTTGTGACAGAACAAACTTGCTTTGTTCCGGAGTCGCAAGAGCCAGACAGATGGCTTGGTGGAATTGAGGACACGCGCAGTGCCCATAGTTCTGGTTTAAAATCGGACGTCGAAATGCAGGCATGCCTTAAGCTTGTAGGGAAGGCAGAAATTTCGATACACTTCCCTCTAGGCGATGGCGAGGCGTGACCAAATATAGGCCGTAGTAGAGCGAAGCATGGCACGCATACAGAAAAGATTAGAGCGACTAAAAGGAATTGTAGAGAGTCGCAGCAGTGTACATAGCCGCACTAGATGTACTGAAGATGTTAGTGAAACAGTGCTAGGACGAGAACGGAGAAGAGGATTCAGCTAGTAATCTGAAGCAATTCCTTATGAACGGGGAAACCCTACAGAGGGTAGCACGTAACTGTATTGCGCTGACCATGAAGTTAAGGACTATGTAAAAAAGGTGATAAAGAGCAATAAAACGTGGAAAACACAATTTTGTCCTTACAGGAGCTGTGCAATAAAAGGGACTACAAGATCAGCGCCCTTAGGGAAGCGCTCGAGAAAAAACTCTACTAACTCTACTCTATGGAATTGATCCTGTCATACTCTCAAGTACCATACCAAATGCTGATGTTTCCAAGTACAAGGTGTTTGTCGACGATTATCCAACAGAATTATTTAATGGACTTTCAATTAGAGAGGAGGTACAAGCGCATGGAAATATAGGGCTAAAATGAAGGAAGTATGTGAAGTGAAGTGATAAGCGTATGAACGTGGACGTTCTTTCTCTTTCAGCGGTGGGAGGAAGGGCGTTCGTGAAATTACCATGGCAGAAGGCTTGAGGATATCCCAAATTGACTACAGACCGGGACGGCCGTATAGCGTATTGCAAGCTGACGAGACCATCGAGACCTCTGCGCTGATCACTAAAATAGGCAGTGGACGAGGATGCAATCAAGGTTCGGTATGACTTACTTCTCAAGTGCCCAGATGAAATCCTAAATGAGCATGTGAGCGGGAAGGTCAGGAGGAAAGAAGTGAAGAGAGTATTCAAAATTTCCGTATCTATTCCTCAACTTGCTTATTGCTACCATTCGCGATTGAATTTTTGTTGTTTTCTCGTTCACTTCCTGTTTATCCTTTCACTTTTCTACTTATATGTTCTTGACCATCTCAGAAGTTGATCGTTTTTTCCTCGTAATCGATTTGGCGCCCAAATTAATGGCTGCGTGGGGGATGCAGGGGATCGGATAGTGATCCTGTTTCCGGTAGTGCGCCTCGATGTATTCTCGGCTCAAGTCTGTTTCCTGGTACTGCGCCTCGTTGTATTCTCTACTCGACGTCCTCTTGCACCTCGCCACTAATTTGCTCTGTTGTACAGCTGTTTGCATTGTATTCATGAATATTTATGTTATTCGCTGTTTCTGTACTAAAAGAAACACTACACTGAACCAGTCAGTCAACCTATTGCTCATTTCAGGAAGGAACTCGGGTTTGATGTCCCAGACGACGGCCACATCTTGCACGCCCAGTTTCGATGTCGACGCCAGGACTTTTCGTTGCTTGAAGGATGGCCGGTCTTCTCACTTGCGAACTGCTGTCCATCGAAGACGCTAACAGCAGGGGACTTAATCACAGCATTGCGGTGTTCAGTGACAAGCGCGCCTATGTCAGCAATATGACGGGCTATTGGCACCGATCATGCTGTGCCAGTCGGGTTTTAAGGAGGCTGGCCGACTGTGCCGAAAAGAGTCTTCAAGCTCGGTTGGCTGATAGCGAGGGGAATAGATTGGAACGTTTTCGAATCGAGTTCGATGTTGAACCCAGTACATAATCGCATTCTCATTGTTGTGCCCATGGTGTTGTGAAGAACGGTGGATGACTGGCGGCTGTCGTACACGCGTGCTCTTCTATTGGTGATTTTTCAGCAATCGAAACACAGCCGGTCTGGCCTCTTTTGGAGACGATCTTGGAGCTGTGGTTCTGATTCTGCCGTCCGAGGATCCGCGGTAAGTCACTGTATGGGTCGCAATAATGTCTTTCATTATATGATCTCTCGAGCTACTCGGACACGTAATATATTGTGAATGGACGCAAGAACATCGAATGTAGTCAGTTGGGAACACGTCACTCTTAAGACGAAGAATCACGTCCTATAAGTTATGTGTCGGGACAGCCAGAACGGGCGCAGCTCACTGTGGATGTTCTGCAACAGAACATCGGGACTATGGACACACGAGCCGCTTGGGCTGCAGTAGGGATACTTTGAAACGCAGAAGAATGGATGTCAAAGAGAGCACCCGTACATTCTATCAGTTCCTGCAATCGCAGATGGCCTATGCTTCGGTTGGACGACCTTTCGAGCGCATAAACGGAAGCAGCCCAGACTTCGGCCCCTTCAATGGAAAGGTCTGGTGGGCTTCATGGTGTCAATCGCATCAATTTCCGAAAAGGGCGCCGACTCCGCATCGTGATCCAAGATCAGGGACGGTAGTAAAACTAGGCAAACTTGCACGTTAACGGGCTTCTCAAACGCGTTTGTAACGTGCAGGTGCAAGTTTTCCCGATTACGTTGGATATCGCTTCGCTTCCCGGTGAGCCGCACGTCCCAGGCCTCGTAACGCGCAGCCGTGAAACGCGGAAGACAGGCTCGCCGACAGATAACGGGAGGCGGAGGCGAAATAGTATGCGTTTGGAGAGACGCAAGTGACGAAAGTAACGCGCAGGCAAAAAGTCCTCCGGAGGACTTTTTGGGGATGTGGCGAACTTCAAACTTGGATGATGGATAAAGTCGATTGCGAAATAGTGTGGACGAGGGGAAGCAATTAAGGGAGAGAGCACAGTTTTGGAGAGGTTGGAGACGGCGAGAGGGTGTGGCTGAGTCTGGCAGGCGCGAAACTCACACCGATACGGGGATCCAGGCAGCTACGCAGTCATAGGCGACGTCGCTTGTCAGTGCCATT